GCTTTCCTTGCCGTGCGCCATAGGCACTGCGTTTCCGCTGTTCATCACCCACCTATTCAGAAGCAAGAGGTTACACAAATACGGCCTTGTTTTCTTGCATTTGAAGGCTCGCTTGCCACATCATTTCGCATATTTTTCAGCTATGAGTCTGCGCGTAACCCAAGAAGCTAGCCCTTTTGGGAGACCATTTTGTTTCCTTCATGTTTGTTGCAGGGTTTGTATATGTTTGTATTCGTATGTCACAATGCGCTTTCACCAGCCGAAAGTCTTGGGTAGGACTTGACGAGCTTGCTGCGTGTGAACAAGGACTGCAATCTTCGTGCTTCAAAGTTGAACATTGTTTGGAGGGTTCCATTTCAGAAATGTTCACCCAATGTGTTTGCTGGACTGGATGTATAACCGGTCGGTACTTGGTGGTTGAAACGCGCTGTTGCAGTGCTGAGGACCTTTGTAGCGCCGTTCCTTGTGGCTGGTCACCCGCTGACCCTCGGGCAGGTCCTCTCCCACACGACACTGTCACCTGTGGGAAGCCACCGGATGCATGAGAGAACAAAAAAGGCTTGCGTGCGGAAAAGCAGGCATGAACGAGTCATTTGTCGTTGATCAAAGACGTCGGTGATCAAATCAGGAGTAGCTGAGCAGCTAGGAGTTGTCAAAGAACCTGGCACACATGTGAGCTGTGTCTTATTCCTGGAACATCCTGGAACACAGCGCGACATTCTCTTAGTTCATCAGCAGGTAGGGATTGGCATGATTTGGCATGTATTATTGGGAGTTCGTTCGAGAATACGTCAAGTCCTATGGTTCATTGATGAAAGTGGGTGAACTCCTTGTCCGTGTTTGCTTTCACTTCTCGGAGAAGGAATCCAGGAGAAAGCCACGGAGTCGATGCCTGAGGTGCTGTGAGTGCGTAACCCTTGAAAGCCAGACGAGCTGCGAAGGCTTTGGGGCAGAGGGCAGATTCATGAGGTTTTGGTAGTTGGCCTCGCCACCTACTCGTACCGAAAGGGCCTGCACCCACTGATTGGGCAGCAAGACTTGGGGCACAGATCCTTTGTCCTAGAAACATATACATCACATAGCAGCATAGCAGCATTTAGATTCCAAGTTGACGTGGCTCGCAGGTAGCACTGCAACATTCACTGCTGCCATCAACCGACCAGAGGAGGACAACATGTTTGGCTCACTGCGTGAAGAAGCTCCTAGTAGCGTCCTTGTTCTTAGTGGTAAGGCCAGGAGCCCCTAGTAGCGTCCTTGCTCCTAGTAGCGATGCCCTTTGCTCCTAGTGTTTTAGAGTTTTGGACCCTCCTGGGCGCTCTGGGCATAAAGTTTGAGAAGCACCGAAAACACATTTTTCCCTGTGCGTAGGACCCAGTCGTCCAATTGGAATGCGTGGGATGGATGGAGCCTGGGCCTTTGGACACTTTGCGTGAACCCTGGGGCGCCAAAACCCACCATGCTTATGTTGCTTAGATTACCCCAGACATCCCCAGGTTCAACGAGAATGATTCGACACGATTTTGTAGTTGAATCTATTTGGGTTGTTCTCGAGTCTCGAGCTTGACCCTTCCATAGTTTCGCAGATCCCACTTGTCACCTGTCTTTGTCTTCGTGTTCCAACACTGCAGCGGACATAGAATTTCTTGACAGCTGAACATCATTAGATATGAAAGGGATCCAAAGGGCCAAGGGAAGGGGAGGGAGATTTTGGCGTGAGGAGATGGACTCCGACTAGAAAGAAAGAACGCATTTTTGTTGAATCGTATCCGGCCCTTCTGCACAGTTCACAGTTTGCCGGAAGCCGGCAGGCCACCGCTGCTCTTAAAGCAGAGCCAGGCGGGGGTGCTGACTCCAAGGTGGCACATGTTGAGTCTTCGGCTCTTAGATCTTTTAGTTTCCCCCGTGAGGGCGAGCTGTGTGACGAAGTAACCACTGATCACGCAAGTTGCCACCGCCCCTGACTGACTTGTTGACCTCTGCACATCGCGATGTGTCCTTCATTGCCCAGGCTGGCATCCAAACGCCTCAGATCGGCTCAAGCCCGATTTCTGAGAGTCGCACTCCACCAGGCCAGCAAATGCCAACAGTTAGAGATATTTTATGATATTCTCATATCCCACTCTTTAGTACAAGCTGCATCTGTGGTTATAGAGAGGAACAACCTGCCACTTCTGTCTATGTTGAACAGCGCGTCATTCAGGCAGCAGTGGTAGTGGCTACCCAATGCGCTCGAGGGAAGCCAGTCCATGGGCCGGGAGCTCAGCGGAGGCACCGGGCACCGTGAAGCACACTCTCCGGTCGCCACTCATCACCTTGGGATGAACAAATGACTGAGCATGCCAGCATCATCGCTCTTAGGTTGGAGGCCATTCCAGCAGATTTAAGTAGCTTGGAAGAGGTGAGTAGTAGCTAGGAAGCTCCTATGCCAGCGCCGGGATCACTTGGGATCACTTGTTGGATCTCAAGACCCCTGCCTTTTTGGACCCTTTTAGCTACACGGAGCACAGTTTTGAACCTCAGAAACCCTGGTCTTCACACATCTAAGCAAAGTAAGCTTACTTTGTTTTACTCTAGCTTACTTTGCCTAGATGTCCCTGCATGGATTGTGCGCTTGAACTTGTCCAATCTGGTCAACCTCAGTTCAGCTGGATTAAGGAAACTCATGAAATAGATTTTGCTCTCAGCGATGTACAACTTTGAGGTTTTGATTCAAAGTACCACAAATGCTGAGGATGCAGCTGATGCGGAGGGAGTGGAAAATGCCCCTGAAGAGCGGCGGCAAGAGGCAAGTCAGATCTCACTTTGTTGAGGAAGGTCGGTGAATTGCAGATGACATTCATCCTGCTGTCGCATGCTGTCGCCCGTGTTGGGTGTTTCATTTTGGAGTGCTGGACTGTGACCAATGTGAAATCCAGATCGTGGCATATTGATAGCCTGACTTGAATGGCAACTATGGTTTCATCTCAAAAGCACTGCAAAACTAGAAATACCAATGGTATAAGCAGTTGACAGATTGCCATGAATCCAGCAACTAGCAACTGGATTACCAACAATTCTACAATTTGCCCAGGCAATGTACGTACTGTACAATTTTTGATCTCTCCCAACAAATCCACATTTAATCTGTACATGTTGCCAGATACCTCTCTCTGTCGTCTGGGTTGGTTCAGGGTGATCCATCACCAAAAAGTACTTTGGTGGCCAGGGCCCTCCAGTTGACGCCACGAGAGAGCGATCGGTCAGATCCAGCAGAAGGATCCCAACCCTTCTCCAATGCCATCTCTTAGGGGTCTCATCCCAACTTGCGTCATCCATGTGCCGAGGTCTCACCTCCCCTGCAGCTGAAGTCCTTGGAAGTGGAAGGAGTGGATAAAGAAACGGTGAATGTAAAGCCTAATAGCAATGGCCTGCAACCTACTAGCGATGGCCTCCAACCTAGTAGCGATGGCCTCCTGTGAATGTCATAAGTTCTACACTGGGGCCTTCCTTCCATTCTTAATCCTTCTTCCATTGCCACGTCAAAGGTCTACGCAGTTCATCGACCGAGATGCAGTGTCTAGTGAGTCATGCAGCAATGCGGTAGACGCCCAGCCCTTGACTAGATGGACTGAACACCGTTGCAGGCACCTTTTCTGCCAAGAATGGGACTGGGCCGGAGGCGCGAGTTTCATCAATACACATGCGACACGCACCCTTTAGTAGGCATTGGACGCTACTAGGGGCTCCTGGCATCGCTACTAGGAGCAAGGATGCTACTAGGGGCTCCTGGCCGTACTACTAGGAGCATTCTTACTACTGACAAGAAAGAGTGTTGGAGGCATTTCGAGGCTATGTGCGACGCGCCGGTGCGCAAGCACCGAAGAATCATTTTTCCTATCCATCGATGTATTTATTGATTTATCTATATACATTAAACAGTGGGCTCCACTCATTTCCTCCACCCAGTTGCAGGTCCATACACCCACTCACCAGGCAGTTTAAGTAGCAGGGATCTAGGGGACTGCCAAAGAATTCATCGGTCTGCCTATTGGGGACACTGCGCTTCAGTCAAGCTTGAAGGTAGCATCAGCTTCAATGGGACACAGAGTGCACAGAGTGTTCGACTTGGAGAAGTCTTGCAAAAGAAGCTACGGGCCTCTTATTTAGTCGATTTTAAGGGGCCCTTACCGTTTTCTTGTCTTCTTTAGGTCTTTATCATTTCTTTGGTGACCAGGACTACTTTATTGGGACCCCGCCAGTGTCAGCTGAGTTGCGGCCATTTCTTGATGGAAAGGGCGTGAAGGCTTGACTGGGCGTTCGAGCCTTCTTGGAACAGCTTTTTAGCAAATGGGGGGCAAAAGGGCAAGACAGCTTACCTCATAGTAAGTGTTCTTGTAATTGCCTATTCTGCATGGTAAAGCTATCATGTTATTGCTTGAAGCATTGCTGTTCAGAGTCTGAAGATGGAACATGGCCAGGGTGCTTTCTTCAACAAATCCATCGAAGCTCATTCGTTTGTGTTGACCAAGCACGCTGGCAAGCTAGAAAGCTGACCACGCACTTAAGAACTTTCGCAGTTTTTGTGGTCTTGCAGGAGGTCAGCCAATCTGATAGTCTGAGCAATACAGGCGACGCAGGGCTGGGCCAACTTGCTGTTCAGGAACCAAGAATTCAAGATGGCAGCGAGAATTGGCCGCAAGATTCACGATCATCGCTTGAGTTTGGTCCTAGTTGAAGCATGTTGAAGACCCGGTACCTCGCTTTGTGGCAAAGGCACTAAAATTGTTCAGCAAACTGTGGAGGCTTGTTTTCATTGAGTGAAACTGACCAGGCTAAGCTGGCATCAAAACAATCCGATCTGTTTGTCTTGTCTCAGTCTTGTCACAGGCTCCAGTTTCGCGGGAGATCGACGCACAGATCGCCCGCCGATGACCGTGGGCGCCTCAGGGGATCCAAGCATTGAGCAGATCAGAAGATAAACAAATGTAAATGTTTTGTTTTATTTTATTTTTTCAATATATATATATACATTTTTGTATGCATATAATATATAGATATATATATATATAGTAAGAATTTAGTAAGAATGGCCTCCAACCTAAGAGAAATGGCCTCTATATGGACATCAAAGCGACCATTGTGATCCTTGTAGACCTGACCGTGCGCAGAGTCCATCTGTTCATCTTGTGAAGGCGAACTGCAATTGCCCAAGAATTCCGTGTTACCTTCACACAATCATGAATCAGAAAAATAGACTGACGGACGTAATATTCACAGCCCTGGCGTATTTATTTTGTATCTTCAGGATTGGCTCTCCAGCCCTCGGGATGCCTTGCCACCACGGCAGCAGCCAAGGCAGGAGTAGGTCCTCATGCCACAGACGGCCCAATACCCCAACAACAATCCTTGACCTTGAGCATAACTGGCGCCTTAGTCTTGATCTATATAAAGTTTGAGGACTTCAAACTCGAAATAGACATGCAACTTCATGCAACTATACAGCTTCCCTGGATAGGGACATGACAAATTCTTCATGAGCCAGTGCGAACACCACTATATATATATACTCTCATCCAGTTTAGTTGCATTGATATCTCTTCTGTGGGCATCCGCGACTCCCCTGCTTGGCGAGGGCGAGACCGGACATGACTTCGACTGTGGATCCGCCTACAGCGCAAAGATCTGTACGGGTCACCCGGTGGCTCGCTGCTTCTACTGATGAGTGCTAACAGAACTCGCGATGGGGTTCTGTTCAAGCGGGAAGGGGCAGATTATTTCGGGGCTACAGACATATTACTTAAACATCTTCTTGCCTTGCCTCCTTGCATCCTGCAAGTGTGTCTTTCTTGATGATTCAATCATCGATGACCACGATGCCGCTTCGGTGACAAAAAACAGCCAAGGAAAGGACTGGACGGTGTCTTGGGGATTCATTTCTGTTTGCCAATATGCTGGACGTCAGCAAAATTCAGTTCCTTGAGGTCAGTGGCGCGGACGGCCGGCGGCAAGGCGGAGTTCCTGAAAGAGTGCAGAACAGCATGAAGTGGAAGTAGGAGGAAGACAGCATTGTAAAAGAGGTCCACCTTGTACAACAGACATGGTTGCCTTTATTCTTGGAGATGAGAGTTGAGAGACCCTCACGGAAGTGTCGGGACACAGAGTCCCACATCCATAGGCCTCTTTCCAAGTCTCATCGGCAAATTAGTGTTTGAGCTGCATGAGAGAGAGAGAGAGATTCGAACGATCCACATCCACCCTCCTAAAGAATCAACGCTCACTTGCAAGCTTGCGAGATGTATCAATCTGAGTTCAGACTGGTTCTGAACCAGGAAAGTATGCCACCCTAAAGTCGGAATATGGTGGAACGCAAAAATAACTTGGACTGTTAATCTTTATCGAATTTGGAATTGACATCAATTAACCAAATGAAAAAAACATCCCATGCAGATGAGTTGAGATAGAACCTATCTTTCACGCGAGGCTCCGCTGGCATCCAGCGCCCGAGACGTCGGCCTGGGGAAGAGCCTCAGGCCTTGGCTTTCCAGCGGTCCTCGGTTTCCACTGAGCATACTGGCTATATACTGATCATATGTAGTACAAAGGTAGAAAGATGGATGCTTCCTACTGTTTTCCTCCTTTTATTACAGTTATTAAGGCAGGTTTGCTAGACTCCCACTCACAACATTTGACAACAGGCTTTCTTCCGGGTGTACTTTGGTGACAGTGCTAAGCGCCAAGTGTATAAAAGTGTATAGCAAAATGCTAGAGGTCCGGGCCAGGCTTGCCTAAACTTATGACACCGAACACACACACACAGAAGAGGTTCGAGATGAAAAAATCAAAACACAAAAACATACTCAAAATAAAAACAAACACAAAAAGCAAACCTAGACTCAGCCCAAAACCAGAACTCAAGACGAAACACAAAAACGCACTCAACTGGAGACTCAAGTAGCAGAAGGTTGAACGGAGGAAAAAAAGCAAATCCGGACTCAGCAACAGAGAATTTGAGTCTGGATTTGAGTCTGGATTTGAGTCAGCCTGGATTTGAGTCTGGATTTGGGTCTGGATTTGAGTCTGGGTTTGAGTCAGTCTGTTTTTTTGAGTCTGGATTTGAGTCTGGATTATGGATTTGTTTTTTTTTCTGAGGGAAAACGCAGGTTCCAGCCCACCCTAGTCTAGCCCCCAGAAAGCAGCAGGGAACTCAACACCAAACTCAAACTGGAACTCAAGCACTTGAAACCAACACCAGACTAAACAAATAATCCACATAGAAATATACAGAAATCAGAAAAAAAACTCGCATGGAATTTCACGATGGCAAAAGGTTGAACAGAGGAAAAAAAGCAAGTCCGGACTCAGCAACAGAGAATTTGAGTCTGGATTTGAGTCAGTCTGTTTTTTTGAGTCTGGATTTGAGTCTGGGTTTGAGTCTGGATTTGAGTCTTGTTTTGTGTTTTTTTTTGAGTCCTGTCCTAAGTAGACCTGTTCTCCTGAGTGTGGATTTGTTTTTCCTATTTGTTTATTTTTTGAATATGTGTTGTTTTGATTTTTTCAAGGATTTTGGCTCTGCGTGTTGAGTTCGGGTTCATAAGCCTAAACAAGTCGGATATGACAGGAGCAGTGGGTAGGAAGTCCTTGCAAGAGTCCAGGAATTGTAAGTTTTCTAGCATGTTTTGTGCTTCAACTTCCACGAAAAGGTTCACAGCAAGGACTCAGGATATAACAATTGTGCTTTGTGCAATTCATTACCTTTGGCAGACTGCAAGAAACCATGCTACTCATTTCTTGTATGGAGTATCCTAAGGCGAGCCTAATTGAATCGGTGGCGGAAAGAGAATGACAACCTCGACTTGAACTAAGCAAGGTTAGAATAATTTGAGTCTCCAATGTGTTGAACTTCAGTCCTCCCCGGGGCCCGGGGGCAAAGAGATACAAAGGGAAGAAGAAAAGAATGTGTTTAGGTTTCTTTGATAAGGCTCCTTTACAGGGGTCCTTACTCCAGGGCTCAAGCATTTTTTCTTTTGTTTGATTATTCCAAAAGGCTCTATATTCCTTTATAGTTATACGATCTTATTATATAAAGCAAAACCCACATTTCCTATCTTTTTTGGTATTCTTTTTTCAAGCTTTTTGATTGCCAGGTCAAGGCCAAGACCCCGACCCCCAGCCGCACGTCCGGAACCTCAGGTCAGGCAGAGAACGGTTTATAGGTCGTCCAATGGATTGAATACAGAAACACTCATGTCTAGGATGAGGAAGAAATCTCAGGACAGAGAAGGTGTTTTCACCTGTCCCACACCATGCGATTTACTGGGAAAACCGGGACATCCCACACACTCCCAAAATGTTTGCCTGATGCGACCTTTGACAATCACTTTGATACTTGCTTTTTTTGATAGGACATGATGATACATGATGAATAGCTGTTGGTCCTAAGGATTTGCTGTAAACTCTTTCATTTTGAGTCAAGGTCTGCCGTAGTTGAGAACGCAAATCACACTTTGTGGCCAAAGGCGGTGAACTTGTTGAGTGTGATGTACTGCGCTCGGGTTGTAGATTCACCCGAGCATCTAGCGACGCTAGTTCGATGCGTCCTTTCCCTTAAGCTGGGGGTTTGACTCGTCCTTGCGGCAACCGAGATCACCACCAAGTCAGCAGGTATTTTCACCAGAAACTAGCTTCACCAAGTGTCATTTTCCCGGTGCTTCCACGCGTGCCCATCCTGAATATGTCCCAGGCCCTCAGCTGCATGGAGCTCAATTTCGGGTGCTTGAAGCGAATGGCGTCCTTGTTCCTAGTAGCGATGCCCTTTGCTCCTAGTAGCGTCCTTGTTCCTAGTAGTATGGCCAGGAGCCCCTAGTAGCGTCCTTGCTCCTAGTAGCAACTTCCAACATTGGGCCTAGGGCATCCATTGAGTCCCTGCAGCAATCTCAGTTGATGAGACCCCGTTCTCCAAGGCGGCTCTTCGTGCAGGGCGAAAGGCGCCTTTGTCATAAGTGGGTTGAAGTTTGAGAAAGCGCGTTGGACAGGCCTCAGTGTCGCAGCGCCGACCCGTATTGTCAGGGAAAACTGACTCCGGTTGCTTGCCCTTTTGATTGTCTGATGTTTAGCCACAATAGAAAGAGATCTTTTTCTCTTCTGCAGGTCAGCCGCAGTCCTGAGCGAGGGCGAGGGGAGGCAGGGTGTAGGAACAAGACGGGCTACAGCCTCAAGCTTGCATATGTAATATGTGAATTACTTTGAAGTTCTACATCCCTCGGCCAAATCATTTCCACTGTGCCTTCTATCTTTAGAGGCCATGTGGTATTCGCTAGAGGTATTGAAATCGAATGCTCAATGTTGCTTTTCCTTTCGGTCCTCTGGTGGTGATAGGTGTTCATGGGCGGATACATAATGATATTACACAATATGCCAGAATCGTAAAGAGCTGAGCTAATTTGCTTGAAAAGTCGCAACTGAACATTGATTTCCCAAACACAGTCAACTGTTGCAGAGTATCTAGATTAGATTGCATATCAGTGGGCCTTTCCAACAACTTCAACACATTCTGGTGTTCACTAAAATTTGGGCACGGACGACAGCATGATATAACGGCATGAGTATCCAAACCTGTGCTCCCTCTCCATGCTGTTACTTGCCAGCGAACCTCCTCCCATGTCAAGAGAATAGGGTATGAGTGAACAAATGGAAGTGAACAAATAGAAGACCTCCGCTTCACAATGAAAGAGGGATCATGATCAGAGCAAAGCCATGTCAATGTGCAAGGGGTGGCCGCATCCTCGCTTCGGAATTGCATCCACTTCAGACAATGGAGTGGATGAGGAATTTGAGCAGAAACCATGCTGGTAGCTACCAGAGAACCTTCTGATACTGCAACTGTGACATGTTGCTTGCAGCCACAGCTTGCACAGGCGCCTCCTCTCCGTCCTTCCAGAAGCTTCGCAGGCGGCTCCTGAGATAGGGGATGGATGTCCATTCCTTCTTCATGTTAACATGCGTTTGTCATGCTTAATAGAAGACAGATTTGAATCTCCCTTGGCCGTTTGACATTTTCTATTCTCATTGTTTCAATCAAGAGCAGCTTTAGGCTCTTTTGGACAAGAGATGTTTGGACACTGTTTGTGCGACAGGTCACAAAGCTGTGGAAGCTACACAACAGGAGCCCACCCAGGTGTGGACGATCCGTCTCCGAGGGTTTCAGGGCTTCACACATGCTTTAGCGCTTCAACCAGGCAACGTCAACTGAAACACATACTGTAATTTATCTCTTTTGCGCATTACTTAATTCATTCTTTTGACCTATAGAACTTTAGACCTTTCTTTTTTCCTTCTTCTCTTCCTCCTTTTGATTGATACTCATGAATATTCATGATGCATTCCGGTTGTTCCGGTTCCCCGTGCTTTCTACTTGCCCATAGGTGCTTTCTTAGTTAAAGCCCGTGATTCTTCAGTTTCCCTAAACATCTGGGAACCAAATGATTAGTGCAAGCGTGAAGCTATCCTGCGTCCAGATGTAGTAGCTAAAGTAGCTATATAGTAGCGTACTCCCTTAATTAAGCAGGCGCCTAGTAGCGATGCCCTTTGCTCCTAGTAGTGTCCTTGCTCCTAGTAACGATGCCAGGAGCCCCTAGTAGCGAACATTGTTACTAGTAAGGCACTTGTTACTAGAAGCGATGCACTTGTTCCTAGTAGCTTATTGTTACTACTAGCTTCTTGTTACTAGTAGTAAGGCACTTGTTACTAGAAGCGATGCCCTTTGCTCCTAGTAGCCCCTAGTAGCGTCCCTTGCCGGGATGTCGGCTCCGGACTCCAAGTGCCCGTGCGGTGCTCAGCAAGGCTCCCACCTCCGGTGTGACTGGAGGCGCTCCTCTGGTGCAAAGGATTTCAGCAAATTGGGGAGTCCTTTCACAGACCGTGACCTGTACCAACTCAAATTGCAATCTCACAGTTTCAATCGCATCCTTTTGGCTGTGCTGCTCGCTGTTTGTAGCCCGGAAATGCCCTTTTCGGCCCTGTTGTTGTGCCGAGCCAAGTCTACGGAGGCCGAAACCCTTTGTGACTGCCAAAAGTAAAGGGGTTGGCCGGTCAACCCCCAAAGGCGCCTGCTTCGGAGACCTCTTGAGGCTTTGATTGCCCAATCAGCTGCGGGGTTCATTTGGGATCCCCAAATCGCAATCATTTGTCACTGAGTCACACAGTGATTCCGACCATTTCGGCTTGGACATGGGGACACATCGAATCACTGAGCGGTGCTGGTTTCCCTTTCTTGTCAAGATTTGTCAAGATATATACTGTAATCAATAGGAATCTGTGTCAGATCTCGCAAAGTTTGGGTTACTATGGGCTTTAGGTACCTGGCTTAATTCGTTTGGTCTTGTAGAAAGCCGCCTGGATGCTGCATTTCGATGCTGGCTAGGTGGCAATAAAACAGGAAGATACGCTTGGGAGTATCAAACACCATATGAAGAAACAGCTTGATTCCTTTTTGGTTCCTTTCGGTGATCATAGATTCAGGGCAAAGCAAACATATTCATAATTGATAGGCTGTGGCTGTTGTTGGATTGCTCAAGTTCTTGTTACTGCTGCCTCTCATTGATATTTCATGATTGGCTCATGTCTTTGCATTTTCGGTTTCGGTCTCCCCAAAGCTACAAACATGGACATGGACATCAATATTTGTTTTTGTGCGCATGGGCAATAAACTCTTGATGTACAACAGTTTGCAAACACACACCCGCAACGTGTCCCCATGGTGTTGTAACATAAAGCGGGCGACTTTCGCAAGCCCGGCGACTTAACCCGGGTGCCTGTAGGGCTGCATCGATGTAGGGCATTTGCGCAGTTGTGGGGATTGAAGCTTCCAGGCTTCCAGGTTCGGGTTGCGAAGGCAGGCACCAATGCCCAGCCAGAAACTGTGGGATTCCTTCCTTCCATGTGTCAGGCGCATTGTGGAAGAGGCCCGGCGCATTGTGCCTGCTGCTGCTAACAAGAGCATTTGGCATTGCTTTGCATTTTCATTTGTATAGATGTGGACCATGAAAAAAGCACCCTCGCACCCTCTTTTTCCGACACCCTTGTTTGTGCAATGAAACGACATTACATTTGCTGAGGCTTGAAGGACTTGTTACTCGCGTGTACTTTTCAATTCTCTTGGCATCCTCTGATTCAGTCCCAACCAAGACAATGTCTCTTTAATCCCAGCTACTTCTAACGTTGAACGATGTTACCAGGCACACTGTAAGATTCTCCATTCTTGTCCTTTTTTTAAACACTAAACCATCCTTTCTCCATGTCCGCATTTAATAGCTCAGGCCAAAGCCCAAGGCCACGAGCAAGTGGGCATGGCCCTCAGATGCTCACAACTCAAGAGCAAAGTGTGATTTGCAGCGACTTCAGATTTCAGACAATCTTCAGTTTTCCTCAACTCAGTCCCAACATATACTTATATTATGCCAGAACAATGCTGCAAAAAGGTCCTATCAACATTAGCCAAGGCTTGGAAAGACAACGACATTAGGACCCTGCAGCCGTGACCATGTGCTGGTTGTCTTCATGTGAAGGTATGTGGAATAGAACTCACTTTCAATCTCTAAGATTCTAAGGTTTGACTGACATGAGAAATTTCAATCAAGAACACTTGGCTGGAATTTTGAATGGTGAAACCATGATTTTGCTCATGTCCGGGTGCTATATACATGGAGAGGTGCTTCATTGAAAAAGTTTGGTTTCCGTAGCACTTTTTGTCTCAAACACATAAGGTCTCTTGCAGCTCCGACATAGATTCTCATGGCCTCTCTGATCGATGATGACATTTTGCCAATTGGGAACGAAGAGGCAGTGGTGTGGGACATGCGAAGCTAGTAGTAACAAGTGCCACGCTACTAGGAACAAGTGCCACGCTAGTAGTAACAGGTGCCTTACTAGTAGTAACAATGTTCGCTACTATTTTGCCAATTTCAGGAGTGACCCTTCCTCTCCGAGGCGCAGGTCAACCGGAGGGATTGAGGGTGGATTCTCGATGGTCTTGGGACATCACAAAACCAGGACATCCAATTGAAACTGCTCGGCATACAGGATATACTTGTTCTTGGAAGATGCTTGAACGAACGGTTTTCAATGAGAGATGATAGAGATGGCGCCTATGAATTAGCTGTCGTTACCGTGCAGTGTGAAAGTGCCAATCCCATGAATCTCAACCAGAACTGGCAACTAGCACGGGTTACAGCGTGCATCAATGAATCTAGGATAATCTAGGTATCACAGGCCATTGATCCTTGGTGCCGCGAGGCCTGAAGCCAAAGTGCGGGCAGCGCCAGGCTCTGTCTTTGGCTGAAGTCACAACCGTTTTTCTTCGAAGCTGTAATCAGTTGGATCTCAGTTTGGAAAGCCACGAACTGGAAAACTATCCAGTTTGGACTTGTCCACTTACACCGGCATTTTAACGAATCTTTACAAATCTTTTGAATGCTAGGCCAGCAGCAGCCGAGTAGCATCTAGATTCAACCACCACAAGTTGCTACCAACATTTGCATGGGCGGACCTCCAAGCCACAATCATCCTCTTGCACTTTTCGACTAGTCAGCCGTGTTCAATCTGTACACATGTTCCAGCCACGTGTGAGAAAGAACAGGTGTTCCCAGCGCTCGTGTCGTCGGGAAGCCTGTTGTGGACGATCCCAAGTCACGATGGTGTGAAAAGAAATACAGGTAGATGGAAAAGTCTTGAGCCCACCAGAATCAACAGAGTAGGAACTACCTGCTTCAATCTTCCATGAGAGAGCCAGCCAGAGCTGTACTTCTCATGTGCACTATCGTTCCTAGATTTCGTATTTTATTTCATTCCACGTGTCCCTTTGGCAGCGGGCTTGCATTTTGTCCAAGAAGAGACGGTGCCCTGATTTCTTTTCTTAAACATGCACGTGCAGCAAAATTGCGAGAGCGTTTGGAAGATCGTCAAAGGCAGCAGCCCTGGATGGTCCACAGGGGCTGATGTCTTTGCTAAGCAGGCAAGGTTTGCAGCCAGGGGGCATGGAGATAGGTACCAGCTAGACTGTTACCATGGTCCAACATCGAGCAATTACGCCCTGGCAGCCGTAAAGTGAGGCATGAGTCGCAGAGACCGTAGGTACTTAGTAAATCCTGCGCCGACTCTTGTTGAATGTTCAACTCAATGTTCAACCAACTTGCAAAGCAGTTGTACGAAGTAACCCTGTGTTGTATGGTGGTCAACTTTGCGTTCCCCGGTGTTCTCCGGCAATGCCCAGCCAACTTTGTTGGGAATTTGGTTCTCGCGTCGAACTCCCATCCCATATTCCCGAGCCCTGCCAAAGAATCCATCTTTCCTAGACCTGGGTGACAAATGCGGCAGTATATAGGTCCTCCTCAGTGGCAGGTGCGACGAATGCATACCTCAAGGGTCCAATCACCGCTCGCAGGCTCTCTCCAAGAGAGCCACCTCCAGTGTTGTGCCCAAGAGAGGCCTGGTTGCATTTCGCACCATTCTATGGCAGCTGGAGTACTCCAGACAACTTCAATGCTTCAATGCGAAGGATCAAGCAGGTCGCAAAGCCATTAGATAAGATCGCTTGATGTGCTCAGATCATTGGCCAGGTCAATGTTTGGGTCTTGTGCAATGGGTGGCTGCATGTATAATCTTTATAGTCCATGGTAGTCTTGACAGTATAGTTAGTGATGAAATGTGAAGACAGAGATGGTGTCGTGTCTCTCTCTCTCTCTCTCTCCGTCATTGCAGGCGTCATGTATTGGTCGCCGGTTCGAAGTAGAGCCTTTTGAACGCCCATGTGCTTGTGCAGTCAGTGAGTCAGGCATTGCGCTCTGCGCACTCTACTCCATCAGCTCCAAAGCCTCCAGTTTTCACAGGCTGAGACATGGTTTTCTGCGTCACCGAGTTAGCCCTTGCCATGTTGTTGGGCGTTCGAAAAGACAGTTGACAGTTGGTCCAATCGTAAGTTGACCCTTATGGGCGTGACATGCTTGATTTTGTCTCGCTCCTCCAGAGCTGATTTCACACAGCACTGGACATACAGCAGTGTTTATTGTTAAGTTTTCCTCAAAATCTAGAAACTAGATCATTAGTGTGAGCGCTTAACTTCAAGGAAGCTTCCCCTGCCACCTTTAGGGCGGCGTGGGGAGCTTTCTTGAAGAAGCGTGAGCTATCCTGCGTCCTAAGTAATTTATAGCTACTTGCAGGTAGTAGCTACCTCTTCTACTAGCTACCTCTAGCTACTAGCTGCAACCTCTACGGCCTATCCTACGCCCCCCTTCCTTTTCCTTCAGTTCAGGATGTTCAGGCGAGGACTTCAAGCCTGGTGACTGGGCCACCCACCTGCGCCGAGGCGTGGCGGTGAGTGTTGCTGTGGCCGCCAATGGCCTCCAATTGCGCCACCGGTTTAGCACAATTGCCTCCAAGTGCAGTGCGGTCTGTTTTAATGCTTCAATGTGAGGTCACATGGCAGCTTCACAAAGGCTGTTCTGAACGACAAATAGCTGAAGACGTGGTTCTGGTATGCTCTGGTACTATGTACATGGAAGCAGTCCCCGACATAGATGATGGGCAGGGCGACCTGCTTCACCTCCCAGATCCAAGTCGCAAGGAGAGGGATCCAAGCGCATCCCCAAAGGGATGTCATGTGCACACAAGGAAAGCAAAGGAAAGCACACATTCAACATTCAGATTTGAATCGACTTTTGCTTTGCTTGAAAAAGACCTTCGGCTGAGGAGGATTACGGCGCGCTTGGTCACCAGTAGGTGCAGCTGGAAATGTCTCAACAGTCCTGCGTTTCCAGGACAGGCACAAATATATGGCACACCACATACTGTAGTATACATGTACATACAAATAAATATATCTATAAATACATTGCATACAAAAACACATACATGTAAGTGCGAGGGAAGAGAGACTGTTGACTTCGTGCGACAATGATACAGTCCGCCGAATGCCAGGGAACTCAATTCTTGTCCGACGATCTTCTGTACAAACTACACGATCCCAGCACCTTATTGTGATACTCACACAAATTCGTGCACTGGCCCATGGACAGATTGCGTATCAGGTGCGGCCACTTCACCCCCTCGATGGCAGCCCTTGGCCCATGCTTTGGAACCAAAGGCACAATAGAGCTCGGCTTGCTCTGGCCCATCGTTCAAAGAACATGGGCTTTCCTCAAAAAGTGGGGTTGTGCTTGCATGGTCGCTGCGCGTTTTTCGGGGGCTCTTTCATTGTATCATCCAGGCAAGTGCACATCCACCTTGACGTTTATTTCGAAAGCAAGACCAGGAGCTACTAGTAGCGTCCTTGCTCCTAGTAGAAAGGCCAGGAGCCCCTAGTAGCGTCCTTGCTCCTAGTAGCCAAGCTTTGACTGGTCTAATGCTCACGTCTTTGGTTGTTGCAACATTTCCTCTCGACACTAAATGCAAGGCTCGATAGTAACAGGATTTTGTCCCTTTCAATTCTCTTATTTGTTTCTAGTTTCCCCTCTCTCACTCTCTCGTGCAGTGGTGATCATACAATCTGTCGAAATCCCACAGCACTGCAGGGGGGCTCGCCTCGATTGCCGCCTCCGCCAATGAGGCACGCAGCCTTGTATTTGCAGAAAGGACACCTTGATCATTTGTGCAGCCTTGCCTGTCAACAGACTCAACAGACAGGTGTCGAAGCTTTGGAACTCCATCTCCTAGGATACTTCCGAACAGCTGTCAGAATTTTCAGAATTTGGTCAATATCTCTGTGAAAAGAGTGGAATCCGGAGACCTCTGGAAACTTTAGACACATACCTGAAGAATTACCTCTGATGCAACCGATATCAACCGATGCAACCCCATTCCTACTTGCACGACCTTGCAGATACAGAAGTTCAGGTCGTTTCCGCGTAGGGACACAGTTGAGGCTTTTCTGTGAGCCAACAATTCGGGGCACACATCTTGGAGAATTGAGCATTTAGGTTTGGTGACCAAACTCCAAGCGAAGCAGCTCCTCTGAAAGAGGAAACGCCATCACTCTCGACAGCTCTCCTGAGGTTGATGGCGGGCCCCGAGCGACAGAAGCAACTCGCCGCACTTGTTGAAATGACCTGCTCCAGAGAATTTTCACGTCAATCACATCCAGCAGGTCAAGCATTTCGTGGAAGATTTATGGAGTTGGACATCCATTTTCTTGACTGGAACCACTTGATTTCTGAGGTGATTTGGGTGCTATCGCTGAGCACCAGGCACTTTGAAGGATAGTTTCTCGCATCTGGAAGACTCTAGAGAGAGGCTGCTACCTTGTGTCTCAATTCCAATGCTCAGCAGGTAGATTCAACATAGAGTGCAACGTGAAATGGGACGTTGCATTTGCGCAGAAGTAAGGTGAGCCCTTGCTCTGTCAGACTGTCTGGTGGCTAACGACATTGAGAAAAGGAGCAGTGTCATTCATGACCTACGTATCCGTTTCTCCAACACTTACAACAGCATGATGTCAGCTTTGTTCAGTCTTCCCAGATGGTCTTGTGACTTTCTTGTGTGATCTTGTGTGTATATATATATAGAGAAATCTTGCCCAACAATCTGGCGTGCTTGCTTAGTCCTGGAATGCATGTATTTGTTTAATTTTAGGCGGCGCTGCATCCACGTCTTTGTGGCAGTTTGAGTACCGACGAACGACTTCCTTTGCAAGCGCTAAAAGCAGTCACCTGCGTCTGCAACCTGTTCGGGTGTGCTTCATCTTCAGGGCTCAAGGTGTCATTGGCCCAACTTGTTCAGGCCTGGGTGCTAGGGATTGCCAGGGCTGGGGGTGCTGTACACGTAGCTAGGTGATGTTTGGCAGAAACAAAGGGACCAAGAGGCTTTGGGGGCTTGTGTCGAGCTACAGATACAAGTTACAAGTCCCTCAAAACTCATTGCTGATTCGGTCCGCCAGGCAAGTCACGAAAGCTAGCACCAGCTAGCTGGACTTGTTCGTGCTTTAGCAAGTGAGCGGGGTTCAACTCCTCCCTGGGACGTCTCGACTGTCACTCGCTTCACCCCCGCCCTGCTAGCTTTCCTCACCAACCCTCGGCCTCAACTTGGACATAGACGGCAGTCGGAGTTATAGTCAGATGGAAACATAGAATCAAAGCCCAAAGCAACTCCATCCTCAATTTCCAACCAGAAGATGCTGGTACCTTGAAACTCAGATCGAGAGATGATTGAGAGCGTCTCGACAGGAGGGTTTCAGAGCTTATCAGTGTGTCTCACATGGTCTTGGGCAGGCAGCCAAAGTTAGGCATCATGGGCATGAAATACGTCGCTGCGTACCTCATGGCTGTCCCGTGGCGGCACAAAGTCGACAATACGGACATGTGCACGATGCACAGGTTTTGCAAAATGATACAGGGAAGCACATACTTGAATTACTTGACGTTTCTATAGTTTTGACATTCGGCTGCGGGAAACTGTCTGAGGTTATACAGGAATCACAAGTTATACATACGTATATTTTTGTATCCGAAAATCAAGGCCTTGGCAGGCAAGACGCCCACGGCGGAGGATATCAAGAGCATCCTCGCAACTTGACAAAGTTGAGCAAGGGTGCGGAGTTGAAGAAGACAATCTTTTGAAGCCAATGTGTGCATTGAACTAGACAATGAGACCCGCAACTTAACTTTTGCCCAAGGGTTTCAGAGCAGAGAACAGTGACAAAGCAGAGAAAATAGGGGCACGGGCACCACTGCCATAGCAAGAATACACCCAATGCTGAATGCTCCAACGAACGGAGCCTGCTTTGTTTACAGGCACCCAGGATCCTTTCAGCAATCCGTTTAATCCTTACCTCGCAATGCAAGAGTTTGGTCGGGGTCCTACCTAAAGATCCAGATTGGTGAGACCTTGATGCACGCCAGGCACACTAGGTGTCGGTTGCATGTTGGTCTTCCGTTATTCCTACATTCGATGGTTTCTTTGGAGCAACACCCCCAACTTGAAACTGGCTATATACTGTATTGCTACCGGTCTTGCTGTGCGAGGCACATTCAGAGTGGAATAGCTCGATGCCCGAAAACCTACTTAGTCCTGGAACCATGTGAGTTATCAGAGCCATTGGTGCAATCAGGTGTTGTGTGATCTGGCACTGTTGACAATTCCAGCACATCCCTCGCTGGTTCCATTTTGGAACTAAGGAATCCGTGGAATCCGAATACGCCAAGAGCTGAGTGTGTGGTGGGAGTCCAAACATCCAGTCCTGCCCCAGCTGTGTCTCCCTTTGTCTCCACTCCTTTTGCAGACCAGTCTGAAGCCCTGTGACCGCGCCCCAAATAAGACCAGATAACACCGCTCGTGGTGTTTCAGCATCACTTCAAATCACTTCATGACAACCATGGATTTCCTTAATCGTCACTACCCCAACTTCAACCCAGCGGTGTTGCGCCAACCTGGATACTCACCATCTCTGCTCTCATTCCTTTGCATTGTCTCCCTTTCTGAAAAGCAAACAGGGTTGCCACAAAGCTACTTCGACCCACATTTTTTGTTTGTCCTTTCTGTCGCCTTCTGCACACTTCAGCACAATGAAGCCTGGTGTTGCTCAACTCCACGCTCGCATTTCCTGAGAGGATGAATCGATTGCCAGCAAGTTGGTGAGCGAGTTGGATGGCAAAGTGGTCCACGAGGCCTTGCAGAACAGAAGTGGCACCCCAAACCTGTCCAGCTGCACCACAAAAGTAGACACGACTTTTACCCATGTTGGACATGTTTCCTCTGCAGGTCGTGGCTGCCGGCAAGGAGAATCTTGCACCCCGTAAGAACTGGTCACTCAGGGGTGACCTGATAGTGCGGTTCGTGAATGCTGCTGCCATTAGCGTTTAGCTTGCGTTTCCCTGTGTGCTTTCAATTCGGCAAATGGGGGGCCGAGATTATGCACCACCTGCTGTATGCAGGAGAAGCTGAAAGGCTTCGGCGGCGGCGGCGGTGGTGTGGCTGTTGGCGGCGGCGGTGGAGGCAGAGTTGACTGTTGTAGAGGCTTGGTTCAAGTATATCTAAATTAAAACTACGTGAATATAATTGAATATGTCACTGACTTGGCATTTAGGTCTAAACAATCTTTCAATATCCTTTAGTATCTCAGACATTGTCCGTTAGATTGCACAATCAGCATCTTGATTCTGTCAGAGAATCTTTACATCAAACCAATATGAGCTTGGTAATGCATGGGAAACAGACCGGTTGACCAATCTTCATAGGTGCCGCACCAGCAGCTGGTGGCGGAGCAGAGAAGAAGGAGGAAAAGAAGGTCCAGATCATGAAGCACTTCATGATTGAACCATTCCACTCCTGATGATGCTGCCCAACGTGGCTACATTGGCTTGGAACAGGTTGTGGAGGAGGAAGAGGAAGAAGAGATGGAATTCGATCTTTTCGGATAAGGCTCAACTGTAGCAATTGTTGATTTGCGTGTTCTTTTTGCTGTTTGCCGCATGGTGGGCCGGACATGGGAAACTGCCACAGTGGCAGATAGATAGATGGATAGATAGGTAGAGATAGAGATAGAGATAGAGACAGAGACAGAGATAGAGACAGAGACAGAGATAGAGATAGAGACAGAGAGAGAGAGAGAGAGAGCGGGGGGGGAGCGAGAGAGAGAGAGGGAGGAAACCAAAGAGCAAGATCTGGGAAGCAAACCGTAGATGTACAGGCCCAAGACCATCCCTATTAGGTTGGAGGCCATCACTAGTAGGTTGGAGGCCATTCCTATTAGGGTGGAGCCCATTAGTAGTAGGTTGGAGGCCATTCCTATTACGGTGGAGGCCATTGCTATCCGGTTTTCTTCACAGGTTTAAAAACAAGATGTTCCACATTTCCTCATAAGGGAATGACTTGAGAATGGCGTCAATCTCGCGGACTTGCATTTTTCCATAGGATGCACAATAAAATTGTCAGCCACCAGCCTGCAGACCAGAACGGGGGAGTGGCAGGAAGCTGTCTTCACACAGTTCTTGCTCAGGAACAGGACCGAAGGGTGTAAACATATGTAAACACAACCTTTATATAATTTTGTTTGTGTGCCAAAGCTACTTTGCTTTGCCAGAGCCAATCTAGGCTTCCACTTTTCTGTTCGCCAATTCCCTTGTCTTGTTTGCCTCCCATGATTTTTTTCTATAATTGAACAGGATGATGAGTCGCTGAACAAGGAACCTTTAATTTGGTGGGCTTTGCAAAAGGAGATTGTGTGAGTTGAAGGACACTGCCACACTGCCTTGGCCACGAGCTACGGAAATGCCACCCATCCAACCCGCACAGAACCGCCCTGGGAACCGAAAAGATGCGGAGAGGGTGATGGGTTTGATCGGTAGAACCCTCAGAGAACAGCATGAGTCATGAAGGAGGTCAAAGCTCAAGCTGGAGAGCGCAACGATGCGCAACGTGTCATTGAGCACATGCTATCATTCTTCGTAGGGATAGATGTTGGCTTCAAGTAAAGCCGTGCAAGCCCAACGCCCAACGTATTTCAATCGTTCAGTTCCAGTCGCCGCTCTGAAGATTCTGGATCAAATCAAGACTGCAGGCTGAAGATGTTTGCAAAATGCCTACCTGACTGGGTGACACGTTCCAGGCATTTCATTTCTTCTTACAGCCACAGCAAGCAGAACAGGCTTCCTTGGTTTCTGGTCGGCTAGAGCAGTAGAGCTGGTGGAGTGGCAAGAGCTATATCCTCCTCACTACATGGAAAGAGACAGTATTCGCGGGGCATTTCACAATCACACTTGCTCGCGATGCAACTTGCAGCTCCAAGGCACAGGTATTAAGAAAGGTAGGTAGAAGGCCTTATCGCCCTAAAAATTGATTGAGTGTTTCTGTTTATCAAAGGAGATGCATACACCTGACGGCTTTCTGATTTATCTTGATTTGTGTTGTCCTTCACTCCAGGCCGCTCATCAGCGCAGATGGCGAGATCAGCTCGTTTGTGCAGCGGCAGGTGCCACACACCGTCCAGTATGGCACCAACAGCAATGCCTTCTTCAATCCCAATCCATTGCCAGGCGAGCACGGAGTGAACGTTACTCAGGTCGAAGATGGTGGTTTTAGAGCCTGCAAAGAAAGGGGGAAGGATCGTATACTGATGAAATATTGGATACTATTGGCATATTATACTGACCATCGCTGACGTTGGCTCAGATGATCTGACATGTGAAAACCTATATAGAACAAAAGATCAAGGAGCAGCCAAACTACTTGCTGAACTGAATTAGAGAAAGTGACATGTTGGCAGATGACTCAAGCACTTAAAGGGGCTCGTGCCTTCTTGTTTCACGATTTGATAATATCTCTATCTGACTCTCAAGCCTGATCTTTCCAGGTATGAACGGCCCCTTCAAGTTCTTCGTCCACACACCTGCACACTTTCTTCCTGACCCTGCAACACCGGTGGCACAACCAGGCACGCCCGTGCCGCATCAGCTGTGTGGAAAAAGAACAATGGCAACTATCACATGAGTCATGAGGGAAGCTGTTCGAGATCTGGAGGGATGCTTGGAATCTTTTCAATGTTTCTTTGTGCATTTAGTTGTACCTTTGCGAGTTACTATTTGTCAATGGAAGCATCTTTGCTTGGGTTAGGTCCGCTAGGTGCAGGGGAACTGCACAAAGCCGACATTGACTGCTTGACTGTTGAAGTTGCGCTTGAGCTCCCGCCAGGTTACCAGTCCATGGGAATTCAGGCCTCCCTGTCGCCAGTGGCTTTCACATCAATGGCGGCCAGCTCAGGCAATGAGACTTCCCCCACAGATAACTACCAACCCGCAGCCCATGCCAGGCATGCCAGCAGGAATTTATTCAGTGGTGAGGTCTTTTCTAAAAGTACGGCATTGAGCGATCCAAATTGAAAATAACCGGGTGACTCAGTCTAACGAACCGTGTGGAGCAACTTGACTAGGATAACTCATATGGCAATTTTTTCCAAACAGACAAGCCTGGCAGAGTGACACACACACACATACTATCCAAGTTGATGGCAACGGGATGTAGCTGTTTTCAAAGCCCAAGGTCAGTAAGATCGGCCCCAAGCGGAATTCTGCTGGCAAAGCGAGCAATCTGTAATTCGTTTGAACAGGCTCCGACATTATGGGACTTGATCCGACAACTAGTAGTAACAAGAAGCTACTAGGGGCTCCGACATTATGGGACTTGATCCGACAACCGGTTCACGCTCCTTTTGAGCAAGCGACTGAAGACAGAAGTGCAGTTGACCAAGAGAGGAGGCACTGCAGCATCAAATGAGACCTGGTGCATTGCACTGGTTTGCCCCAGATTGCGGGGCATGCATCGGGCAACACTACCAAGCATCATTTTGCTGACTTTGTATAGACGTATAATGTATTAGATCAATATTGTATGCGTCAACTTTTTGCTTTGGCTTTTCCTAAGGTCGGCACGCCTGCAAATGCTGGTACCTCCCAGGCACAGGCCCGGCCCAGTCAGATCAATCGCTGGACACGCGATGAGAGTGTTGCCAAGCTTCACTGATTTCACCCCTCAGCTTGCCACTTGTTGCTGGAAGGCGTTCGGCAGCATTCCAACATCGACACCCCAGGCCATGACGAGAGCCCCCACATGAGCAGATCATGGCACAGCTGAGGCTATGCTCACGTGACATGTGCTTGAAATGCGGGCAAGTAGTCATACTCTGCTAGCAGCTAGCACATATAGATGTTCCGCTCGTTGCGGCTCTGCAGCCAATGCAAAGCCCGACTTCTCAAAGTGGGTAGCATTTCCCCAAGGTTCGACAGTTCATGTTCAAGGTTTTCTTTCTACCCCACAAATAGAAGCGACTGTGAGTTGGATGGTGCTTGCTTTTGTGTTCGGACGTTTGTACCTTGGCAATTGAGGCGAGATTGACAAAGAGGGGGGAGTCGAGTGGTCTGGATACTGTGGGTGGTAACGTGCATGTACTTGTACTACAAACTACAAACATGGGTAAACGCACGCATGGATATAGATAGATAGATAGATAGATAGATAGATAGATAGATGCTGTTGTTTTACAATTCTCATGTTTACTACGGAATACGTTTGAGGAGTTTTTTCTTGAATGCTATCCCCTTTTGTGATACCCACTCATCGGTCTCCATGAACCGCTTGATGCCAGGCTTTGCTGGCTGCACCTGTGGCCTTTCAGCCTCAAGTGTCAGCAGGCCGGACTCCGCGCTGCGGCGCGGCGTGACCCAAGCAGGGAATATGGTAAGAGCAATGGCTAGTAATTAGTAATGGCCTCGAACCTAACAGCGATGGCCTCCAACCCAATAGCAATGGCCTCCACCCTAGTAGCGATGGCCTCCAACCTAATATGATCATCGACCTCTTTATCAGGTTGAAGGTAAATTGGCCGAACATGAGTGATCAAAGTTGAGTTGCCAAGGTGCAACTTTTCTTTCCAGTTGCGACAGTCCTGATTGCTTCATATTGCTTCCTTGTGATCATACTACGCAGAAGAGCATCAATCCAAGGACAGCTGAACATGCACTAGTATGGTGAACACCTGATGTTTGTTGGTGTTTCTTTGCTCTTGATTTTGTCATTTCATTCGATTCGATGCTTTCTAGATCAAAAACTGATAAAAACTGATTCAGAAGAATCCTGGCGCATGCACTTGGCGTGCAGAAAAGGTTTCAGAAGGAGCTGCAGCAAAGCACCTGAGTGTTTGAACCGAGGAACACGCGACCAGCTTTAAAGGATTTGTAGAAGCTAGAATTGCACCAAGACAACTTATGAACATCTGGCAAAATTATCAGAAGACTATTCTAGTGCGTGGATGTTTGCAAAGCCTGCATTAGCGATAAGGGACCGCCCTCTAGCCATACCCCTGACTGTAAGTGCTCCAAAACTGATACCTACCATATGCTTTCTTGATATGTGTATCTTGGAGGCACAAAGCCCACAAAACGACATTGCAAAACCACTAAGGGCATCACCCTAACTGTCGATGTGCCTTCGTTATACCAATAACACTTCTATCACTTATACCATCTCCCGCAGCCTGAAAACTGCATGTTAAATTCCTGAGTGGGGAACAGTTATGGAAGTTGTCCACTTCTAGCCCTGTCTCCCTACCATGACCTCTTGAAAACGCTGTATGACCCAAGCAGATCCACAGATGATGAACACTTTTTTGAAGTTACCTTTTTCCGATTGAAGCCGCCGACGGCCTAGTTCAAGATTGTTTCATTTTCTCAAGAAGGAAGGCCTCGTGTTGTTCCTGTCCTTTATTAAACCAAAACTGTGATTTCGAGTCATTCCAAAGGGCTCCAACTTCCCAGCAAGGTTCTGCCTTCACCGATGTAAGCTCCATCGTAGCAGGAGAGGTGCTGCACAGGTGTTGACATGCAGTTTTTCCATGGTCATGGTCATAAGAATTCAAAGGGAACGTGAT